AAAGTGCCAGAGGGAGGATTTGAGAACGGGCGCCAACTGCAGAGGGTGCCAACAGTCAGGAACCGAAGATCAGAGATTCAAAAATGAAATAGGAGCCTGGCAGGTGGTAACCCGCGGACCAGGGATCGAGCCCTGGCTGAGTCCGTAACAACAGTTCTATACATTCCCCCAAGTCCTAGTGTAAGCATGCCCCTAGTGAGGGCGTATGAGCCCTGTCACCTAGTTTCAGAATCTAGAAAGCACAAAAAGACAAAAAGAAATGTCTGTGTGTTGTCAGAATCTACAAAATAAAAGAAGACAAAAAAAAGAAACACCCCTGTGGCCCAAAATATTGGTTGGATACATTCTTCAATGTCTCAGTGTGAGTATGCCCATTGGAGCAGATCGCAGAACACGCCGTGCCTCGCTGGCCGGGGGCTAAAAGATAACCAAAAGAAGGGGGGGGGGAAAGAAAAAACAAATCATGAATATCACCACTTTTAGTAGAGTGATTCATTTCGTATTCTACTAGCGTTTCCACGGCCTGTCAGACTGCTATCCGCGGTTGCTTTTTCGTTCTTTTTTTCCTTCTGTTTTTTAACTTCTTTTCAGGGCAACCGGGCATTCACTGCCCGACCCACCGGCAGCCCGGCGTGTTAACGGGCAAGCCTCCGGCCTATAGCTGGGCCAAGTACCGGTGGTTTAATTCAAATTTTGTCACTTACGGCGCCACCTTTCAGGGTTTCCTTAGGGAGCGATTCACTCTGCGTACATTGACTGAATGCAGAAACCCTTGAAATTCCGGCAATCATAAGATGTTCAATGGGATGCCAGGCCTGTTGGCCCGATTCGCAGAATCTGACACTCCGCACGCATAAGATTGGATCCTTTGAGCCATCACAGGCAGCAAGGCCTTCAAGGGGCAAGGGACTCTTATCCCTGCATCAATTAAGGCCTGTCCCCGGATGTTATTAAAAAAAGAGGAGCACCCTACGTTCGCCTGGCAACTAACAAACCAAAAAGACTCCTATTACTGGAAGCCGTGGCTGGTGCTCCACTTTGACTTGGATACAGCAGGCAGCCCCAGATATAACATTAACTAGCACTTGCCAGACCGTCTAGGAGTTCATGACCTAAAAAAGCAAGACAACCTCTTAATGAGTCTCCTTTAGTTCATGAACGCCCAGCGCTGCTTTCCAATCCGAGCCTCTTAATGTCTTAACCCAAATGCAGCACCGAGTCATTGTAGCTCTCTTTGGCGAAACCTTCAGTCCAGAATCCAGATGCAGTGATGACGACCAGGCTTTTTTTTGCTTTTTCTCCTTCTTCTCTGTGTCGTTCCAATCTTAGCGGATGTCGGGGATCGGGTGAAGACCATAGAAGTGTGTGTGCCTGCAGCACACAAAAGGGGAGTGCCAACGGTTTAGGAATGGTGTTCGAACTTCGACGTCCCAATCATGTAGTACCGACTTGACCCGAATAGAACGCCCGATCATTATTGCTGCATCTGGACCGAAAGTTGTGCGAAATAGAGCTATAATGACCAGGTGTTCTATTTGGGTGAAGACGGTAGTGGTTCTCAGAGAAACTGGTCAATGCAGGGGAAATTTTTTTTTTAAGTTTTTTTTTTTTGAAACCACTACTCGTACCTTTGCCGAGTGGGAAAATAGCGGGCCTCAGGTGGGCCTCTGACCTTTAAAGTGCAAGGAAGATGAGCAATAGCGAACTTCAGCAATCAAACAGCATCATATACATGAGACCAGATAGTCGTGACCTCGAACCAAAAGCAGAATTGCATCACGAGTTTCACCAAATAAGAACACATCAAAAGTTCATAATTGACAATGCTGGAATAGTCTCATCATCATCATCAACGAAGAACCAATGTTGATATCCTATCTGGCGCGGCGCCCAGACTACAAATAGCACATCCTATCTAGCCTACTCTACAATGCCGATGATGACGTCAACGGCTCCCCGAAGTACGAGCAGATCTCGGCCAATGCCACAAGCTTCAAGCACCAGGTATGTCTCTCGTATCACTCACAACCTCGTTCCCCAACTCACAATGCCACTTGCACCCAAGGACCACCATGCGCCCCATCCAGCATACAGCACCGCAGCTCGGCTATGGCTGCCTGCTCCTTCCAGCTCGCCAGTGAGCGCGTGAGCCTGGCAGGCGATAGCGCAGCATCGCTTGCGCACAAAGCAGCCAGTGCCCGAATGTCCAATCCGGAGGCAGGCCCTTTGCTATATGGAAGTGGCCTGCCTGCTGCTGCGCTGGGCCTTTCCCAAGAAGCTTCCCGTAGGCTAAGGCCCAGTCCAAACGAATCAGGCCCAGGGCCTGTGGTGGTTACTTGTGCCCAACTGCCCTCGGCCTGTGTTTGGCCCATATCCCGTATCCAGCCCAGGGCCTACCTTCCATACATGCAAACAGGCGGCCTGGGCCTGGGTGCTCTCAACCAACTGGCAGTGCGCAACTGCCTGAATTTTCCTCAGTTGCGTGGTGTCCGAAATAGGAGCCCTCAGGCCCTCGTCGAGCCTGCCTTCACTTAGGGCGGCCGACGTATTGCATGACGGGGCCAAAAAGGGGCTCATCGGGGACTTGGCCTCGCAAAAGAGGCCGAAACGAAACAACAGCCGTCGATTCAAATTTATCAATGGCAGCTGTTGTCGAGGCCGGCCTCCGATTCTGTTTTGGAGTTTGGGACAACTGCCAGTTTTCCCTGCTTTTTTTTTTTTTTTTTTTCCCCTATTTTCCCAACACTGGCGGCGGTACTAGTGGTTTAAACCACCAGTACACCCGGGCCTCCTTTTCCGAACCGCCAGCGGTGCACTTTCCAAACTGCCAGCGGGGCACTCTGTTAACTTTGTTTTTGGCTGGCCGCGCCAGCCATTGTGGTCTGGTAGGCCCCAGCCACAAAAACGATATTGTGGCAACAAGATGTTTTGCTACAAAGCTGGGGCCGTGTACTGGTGCTTTAAGAGAACACCAGCTCCGGCCTCCCTTAGTACACCTGTTGCTGGCCCCTCAATCTATTGGTGGGGGCTGCACCTGCTGGAAACGGGGTCCATCATTTAATTTAAACAATAATATGAGAAATGTCCGCCTCAGAGGGTTAACCTGCCTGTACAATGAGAGAATCGAGAGAGCTTTAGCGCGGCCACTGAATTATGAGCTATGATCTATTATCCATCCTGCCAGCATTGATTACCCTGACAGTGTGAAGCAGGGGATTGGTTCACTCAGCAGCGAATTTTTTTTGTCTTTTTTGTATCTTTGGTGCTTCGTCTGGATAAACAGATCATGGTAAACGAGGACTCAGCTCAGCTGATATGGACAGGGTTTTGTGTTGCACTCATTTGTTTGTCTTCCTTCTAAAAGGGCCTTTACCCGATATAGGCCTCAGGCCTTGTAAAAATAGAGCAGCACGGGCCTTGTAAAAGTAAAGCATTGTGAAAAGGTATCTTGCCAGGGCTCAGAAACGTGAAAACAGGTCAAAAGTCAAGTTCTCTAT